ACGTTCGACCCTCACCTTCTGATTTACTTGGCACGTGTTTCTTGATGGAGGTGTTCATGGTTAATCTCAACTCGACGCCACGCTACAAGCATTTCTACAATTGAAGAACATATGGAAATAAAAAAAACTGTCAACCAATTGCAAAGTCACAATCTCCAATACGAATGTTAAGACAGTTCTACTGTATGGAGCTGAAAAGTGAAGAACTACTACAACAATCATCAAAAGTGCACAAGTATTAACAAACCATTTACTACACAAGATGCTCAATCTCCGTTGACCGGAAACCATCAGCATCAACCTATTGTGGGAGAGAACAAACCAGCTTCGAGCTGAAGAGCAAATCAGGAAGAGATTATGGAAGTGGATAGGACATACAATGAGGAAATCATCAAAGTGCATTATGATGCAAGCGCTAACTTGGAATCCTGAAAGGAGATGGAAAAGAAAAATGCCGAAGAACACACCACGTCGGGAATCGGAAGCCGAAAAAAGAAAGAAGGATGGATAGCAACTGGAAACAGATTTAATGTGGTGACTTGTACATATTTTGATGGAGGATACTGGTGGATAGCCTATGCTCTCACATGAGGAATGACAGACGTTAGTAAGTAAGTAACGATTTCTTTGTACCTGACTGCTCTTTGATTTTGAATATCAAATACAATAAGTCCTATTGTGCTCGTTTGTTTCTACTTACTCTAGATTGCATTATTTCGGGAATTCCTAGTTATCACGTACAAAGTACGATAGGTGTAAGATGCTCACTCGTTCACAATTATTATAAATCAATTTATTCATAAATTCGAAACCTCTATCATGTCTTATCATCAGTCAATTTATTTTGAGAACATGTTCCATTTATCAGTCATCATTTATAAATTCTGGCCTTGCAGTGTAACACCTCAAAGTAAATACCTGATGTAGATTGCACTCCAGTGACATCCTGGTACTGTGGCTTCTTCAACAGTCGTATGGAACAAGCAGAAGTTTATTTAAAAATGCAGTAATAAGACGTCCGAAAGTTGAAAAACCCCTCAGAATATGTTGACAAACAATTTTAATCAATAAATTCATCACTATACTGTGAAAAGTATGTGAATCATATGGTACTTTACAAAAGCCAAATCAAGGCATGAATTAATGAATTAGACAATGTTAAAAGTTGATATCGATGAACTTCCGCATCTGTTACAGCATGAACAATTCAGGATATCGTTATTTCTAAGTTAGAAATGTCATTCAATTTAGGTCAAAATGATTCGTAGTAAGGTGTCAAGTTCTAATAAATACAATAGTTATACTAAAAATATTGTGGAAAATTGGATTGTAGAAAAATAACTATCGAATTATAACTGTAGATTCTAATAATGAAGTTGTTAAAAGCCATTAATAGCTCAAATGGTCCTTAGTAATGATATTAAGAATAGGTTGGATTAACGTACAGGATAAGAGTCGACTTGAAAATGAAATGAACTTTTTTATCTCCATGGTCTTGAGCGGCTTGCCTTTATACATTCATTACAAATTTGAAGTGATTTGGGTCAATGGCTTGCTTATAAACTATTTTAACATATCTTAAGCTTCCTTGGTCTCGTACTTTTAAATTATAGAGAGATGTACGACTACTTGAAATATAAGTTTGATCACCTGCAGATCTGTGCATATTTCAGTGCTATGTTATATTTCATAAGTGTTCAGAGAAGTATAGATGTGGAGGTTTGTAATATTGTGGTGTTTGCATGAACTAATGATCCCTTCGTACTTGTTGACTGTGTGATTTCGAATTCCGAGTAAAATACGTTCGTTCCAGCTGATCTAGTACTTTTTGGTTAAATTGCGTTTTTTTAGATTCCTAATTTGTACTATGATTCAAGCACTTCAAACTATCACAAATATGTATGGTGTACTTTCAGTCAATTAAGGGAACAGTCAGTGAAACAAGCAAGAAAGTCCAAAAATCAAATTTCAACATTTATATAGGCAACATTTACAGCTTGTTACGTTCATCTTATCGGAAGGAAAATTCATTAAAAACTGTAGCTCACTATTTTCAGTTTCAATGTTCAGTAATGTCATATCGATGATTCATTACTAACCATGTTATTACACTGCTAACACTAAATGATTAGAACTAGAGATTTTCAGACATTCTCCACTTGTTAAATTTTGCCATTCAGCTAGTTGAAATTCAAATGTTGCCAAATAAAGACATTCTACTGGTTTATCATACCAATTAGTCTACTTTTTTAATTCTAAACGACGCATCAAACATACCACTGAAGTAGTTTCCCTACAGTCAGTGAAAAGTAGGTGGCAACCACTTTTTACATCAATAATTTATTTTTTAAAAGATTTTGTTCAGAAGAGTCAAACTGTTTTTATTGTTATCCTTAAAGTACACGGCTCATGAAAAAAACAAGGAAAGTGATAAAGATTTGAGAAAACAAGCAAAAGTAGCTGAACATTAGACCTTTAATCTTACGATTTGAAGGAGAAAGGGATCCATACATGGGTTGCATCGGAATAACGACATCCCACGCTGGTCAGTTACCTTCATGAAAAAGGCATTTCAATGGAAACTAATCCAAGTTTAAGTCTGGAAAACTTGGTTTTTGGTTTAAGCGTTGCATGTATTGCTAAGAATGGTGGAATCTGGTACAGAAAGCTGGGCTGCATGATAACAACACAAAACTACTCAAAGATATAATGAATTCTTCATCGCGCTTTCACCATTTATACTTGAAATCGAATAAACGATGGGAAGGGTTACGAGATTCATAATACTGCAGCTGCATTAAGTTTACTTAGAAAAATGAATACTTTAGAAAACGTCGTCTATGTGTAGCTTCTGAAGTAGGAAATAAGTGGAATGCTGATGTCACCGCTTTGAAAATAGCACTAAACTTTTCAACATGTTTTTTGCGAGCATGATAATGTCAAGTGATATGATATAATCAGATCGTGTAATTTACTTTACGTCAAGCAATGAATTTCACTCTACGTTGACATTTAAATATCCCTCATGCAATTCATCATACAACGAAATCAAAACTAGCAGGGTTTCTGATCTTCTAATGATCGTCTACGATTTCCACTGGCGTCTTGATCGTGCAAAAGCACTAGGACAATGAACGAAGGAGCGATCGAAGCAGATAATATAACAAAGACGTGAAGTATGTACAAAAAGATTGATTTAGTTCAATCATATGAAGATTACAGGGCGATCACAATAAAGGACGTTGAGATACGTCTCATTACCCAAAAACAATAAGTTGGAACGAGTGAAATGTAGTTAATGAAGCTCATAAACATCGATGCAGATGATTTACAATCGTCCATAGTATGCGAAGATAATATGAAAAGACGAGGAACTGAAAGGTTGCTTAAAACAAAGTTGGTTGCTGGCGAGTACCCCATAATGTAAAATTTCTGAGTGATGATGCCTCGACAGAGAATGACACCGGATCCATCTGGAATGCAACACAAAGACGTTTCACTAATCTTTGGATCTGTTGAACAAATGTTTTGATGTTACTTAAAAAGTGATCGTTGCTAACTGCATACATACAAACTGCTAGCCATGGCCTAAATGGGTGATCAACTTCAATGATGCTTTTAAAATTACTGACTTTTAGTAGGGTAACAGTTTCGTCCTTCAAACAATTTTTTGATCAGCGTACCTCATAAAATATCAAACTAAATGAGCAACCTACCACAGTGTAGACTGTATCTTCCATGACAATTTGATCTTGCCTGTAAATTGGCATTCCTCATGTAACAGACTGTTATTTGAGAATAAATTATTATTATTCTCGTTATTAATAATATACATTATGACCATCCGAAGCTACTTGAACACCAGATACATTAACAGATACGCTATTCCAGTGGTTCTTTTCAATTCCAGTGATGGGTTCAGGTGTTGCGTTAGAAAACCACGAACCTTTCGATCCTATGGACAGTGGTGCAAAGTTTAAGTGTTCTTCTTGTAGGAACCCGACCAAACAATAAAACTGCGGAGAATCACGTGAGAATAGTGAACGGTGCAAATCTGCAAAAACTGAGTAACCACATGAGTTGAACTCGGAAGTTGATTTCCATTCTCCTGCATGATGACAGTACGCTCCAGATGCTAAAACTGAGATTTCTGTAGAGCTTTTCATGGAAGCGAGGCCTTGAATTTAGACATAACCACAGATAAATGACCGAAGTCACCTTATACAGTTGGCAGGCGGCGAGTCTTCATGGTCAAAAACTTCTGGTACCATGTGTGCATTTCCACTTTGTAATATTAAGTCCATTTCATTGGGAGATTTGGGAACTGTTTCTCAGCCTGATTGGGCTTCATTTCACGTTCGTTTAGCCATCTTGTTCATAAATACTTGACAGAGAGGCCCTGAAAATATCGTGAGGTGGTAGTCAGTTGCGTAGGTTTAACAAACCGTCTTAAATCTGCTGCCACTGGATTCGCTCAAACGGTTGTGTCATCCACTGCACTCATTGTACTGCGTGCAACTTTCCACACAGTATCGACAGTCTGAGCATTGACAACTGCTTTTTTTAGACCAATATAGTAGCAAAACAAAGCCGCTAGAATAAATAAGATACATTAGTACATGAACGCAGAAGTGATAACAAGAAAAAGAGTAGAAAACGGTAAAATGTTAGAAATTGAAGTGTGACAAATAAAAAAGTCTGGTAGAAAAAGTGCAGATAAATTGATCTTGTAAAAATAACAATCTTCGTGTCACTTTAGCTGAAATAAATTTAATTAAAGTGAAAGCAATATTCTTAATGAGTAATAAACAATCGAAATTTATTCGTTTAACTCAGCGAGTAAATACACCATTTTCTTTTTGAATACCGCTCATGTGGATTGTGTCCGATATCGAGAGTATTTCCGAATCAATATCGTCTTACCACTCAAAGCTGTTTTGTATCACTTGATATTATTGTAATCAAATATTGGAATCTTAGGGTCACCAAATTTAAGCGTGATGTCCGCGCTTTTCAAACGTTGTTGTAGCGTGTTTTCGAGATCGACTGGTAGGCTGGTTTTTCCTAATATTTTGAGACTCCACACTATGAAATTTCAGTGTTATGAGATGCGGGACCATTTTTAGTTCGCTATAGCATTCCAGAACAGGATTAAATGTATTGTGATCAATAATCGTTTTGTCAATATAAAACTACATTTGAATTTATATATTGCATACTGTAGAATGTAAAATGGTCTTAGTGACATTAAGCTGGTGTCGATTTTCAAAGGCAGCTAATATTGTGGGGGTGAGAAAACCAGCTTGAGTGTTGAGTTTGGTCAGTAAATAATTCGAAGAGGTATTTGTGGAATATAAACTTTATATGAAATCCCGTACCTACTAGTGGTAAATAAGCGACGCCTATTGGTATGTACATCTATCTAAAAGGAAAAGAATTGTAATTCTGCGGCCAGTAACTTTTGAATAGTACTTCTGGAATATTACGTAGCCTGGTTTTGGAATAATTGAGAACCGTTTTTAGTATCAACTTCACACCTTACCTGGAATAACTTGTGCATTATGTCCCCTTATCTTTACTAATTTGAAACATTCAGAAAAGAGCAACGTCAATTTGCGGGCTGAAAAATTTAGCCCTGCTCAGCTGACCTAGGTTCGCCTGTTACATCCTGTCTAACATGAGGTTTAAGGGGATGTAGCCGTAGTGTATCATTTTCCCTATAGTTCTCTTCATGTGAGTAAACCACCGATACGTTATGGTAGTAGGTCGCAGAAATGAACACGTGAACGCGTAAAGAGCTCACACGAAAATTCTTATGGACCTTTTCGCTGTTTAGATCGGTACGTTTGGAACTCTACCGAAAGCTATTGTGATAGCACCCTCTAGTATATATCTCAAAAGAAAACTTGATGATCATTATAACTCTGTAGGTATTGAGATATTTGCTTCGCCTTTCAGTTTCTGGTAGGAATATAACGAAAATCATACCTCTTTAAGCGGAAACGCTCTCCTACTACCCCATCTGCAGATCCCGCGGGACGATTCGCTCTCCAGACTATTAGGGTTCGGAGTTTAACAGTTCAATATGTGATGATGTTTAGATGCATGTGTCCTAAAGCAGTGTTTTGACAAGCGATTGATTGATTTCCATGTGCGCTAGATCAAACACTAAAACATGGATAACAATTTTAGGCAAGAGACTTAATGTTAAATTTGATATATGGTTGAATGGATAACGTTTTAGTATTCGTTAGCCTAGGTTACACCATATATATTGTTTATTTTGGTCGAAATCACTGATTGTCCCAGTACATAAGTAGGGGCCAAAATCATCCCTTGATAGCCATAGAGGGATTAGTTTGACTAATATAGTATCTAAAATACTAACCTCAATAATTATCGGACGCTTAAAAAAGACTCGTGAACTGCAAATACGAGAAAAAACAGGCTGACCTCAGACCTGGTCGTGGCTGCATCGACCACATAATCACCATTCGTCAGGTTCTAGAACACAGGAATGCTTATCGGCGTCCGACAATGATAGATTTTGTTGACTTAAAAGCAGCATTTGACTCGGTAGACCGCGAGATTCTGTGGCAGTGTCTGTCATTGAAAGGCGTACCTCAGAAGTACATAAACCTTGTGAAGGCTCTTTACTCGAACACTACCAGTCGAGTCAGAGCTTATGATGAACCGTCATCTGATGTCGCAAGTACAAGTGGTGTCCGTCAAGGCTGTCCACTTTCTCCATTTCTGTTTAACTTCATCATAGACCTACTGATGGAAATAACATTCTCGTCGACTGAATTCTCGGGTATTGATCTCCATCCAGGAGGTTCACTTATCGACTTAGAATACACAGATATCATAATCCTGTTTGATAAAGACTAATAAAATGCAGGGTCTTTTGTTAGTTTTGAGCAACAATGCCAGGATGTTTGAGATTCGTTTCTACCTCTCCAGATGCAAATTGTCAGATTTTTCTATGGCAGTGTTTGTCACTGAAAGGAGTACCAAAGAAGTACATTAACCTTATAAAGGCTCTCTACTCGAACACAACTGGTAGAGTGAGAGCTTATGGCGAACTGTCATCAGAATTGATCACCTCAAGTGGTGTTCGTCAGGGCTGTCCACTCTCTCCATTCTTGTTCAACTTTGTCATTGACGTACTTTTAGAGATAACACTCTCCTCATCTAAATTTACAGGGGTTGAACTTCTACCAGGAGGTTCACTTGTTGACTTAGAATATGCAGATGACATAGTTTTATTTGGTGAAGACGCTGACAAAATGCAGAGTCTTCTGACCACTCTAAGCAACAATGCAAGCATGTTCGGCATGCGATTCTCTCCCTCGAAATGCAAAATGTTGCTTCAGGATTGGGTTACATCGACACCCGAACTAGTGATAGGGAGTGAAGTAGTTGAGTGTGTCGACCGCTTCACTTATCTTGGAAGTCTCATCAGCCCTTGTGGTTTGGTGTGTGACGAAATCTCAGCACGGATACAGAAGGCTCGACTAGCTTTTGCCAACTTGCGTCATTTATGGCGTAGGCGAGATATCCGTCTATCAACCAAAGGACGTGTTTACTGCGCAGCAGTTCGTTCCGTCCTTCTTTATGGCAGTGAAACATGGCCGGTAAGAGTAGAGGATATCCGTAGGTTACTAGTATTCGATCATAGGTGTCTTCGAAACATTGCTCGTATATCATGGGACCATCGAGTAAGTAACACAGTTGTTAGGAAACGGGTACTAGGTAAAGATGGCAAATCAATTGATGACGTAGTGAAACTTCATCAGTTGAGATGGCTGGGACACGTGTTACGTATGCCCAACGACCGACTGCCTCGACGTGCTATGTTCAGTGGTATAGGAGTAGGTTGGAAGAAAGCTAGGGGCGGCCAAACCAAAACATGGCTCAAGTCCGTGAAGTCACTGACAAGTGAACTGAGTCATGTTGGTAGGTGTAGACTACCTGGTTGGGGACCGCGAGATGACAGCAACCGATGGTTAGAGACCCTGAATGACATGGCTCAAAATCGTTCGCAATGGCGCAGGTGCATCCACTCTCTGTGTTCTCCCAAACTCTAATCTTCTGAATTCTTCATGTCCCTTTTTCCCTCTTTCCAAATTTCTTTCACTGGATTATACTCTTTAAATAACATCTCCAAACCCTAATCTTCCCGATTACTGCTTATACTCTTATTACCTCTACCACTACGGGATTTGAATCGACCACTGCATCTCTGTGCTAATGTGGTGTGGCAACTCGAACTGATGTACGTACGTACGAAGTTCTACGTTGTTACTGACTGACTGACTGACTGACTGACTGAGATGCAAATTGTTGCTTGAGGACTGGCCTGTGTCAACACCTGAACTAAGGATAGGGAGTGACAATTTCACTTATCTTGGAAGTCTGATCAGCCCTAATGGGTTGGTGTCTGACGAAATCTCAGCACGGATTCGAATATCTCGTTTGGCTTTTGCCAACTTACGTCACCTATGGCGAGGGCAAGATATCCGTCTATCAATTAAGGCCGAGTATATTGCTCGGTAGTTCGTTCTATTCTTCTTTGAGGCTGCGAAACGTGGCTATTAAGAGTAGAGGATACTCGTAAGTTGCTAGTATTTGATCACAGATATCTTAAAAATATTGCTCGTGTCTACTGGGATCACCAGGTAAGTAATATTGAGGTTAGATGCAGGGTATTAGTTAATGATGGTAAATCGGTTGATGAGGTTGTGAATCTTCATCGACTGAGATGGTTGGGCTACGTGGTACGTATGCCTGAACACTGATTACCACAGTGTGCAATATTGACTAGTGTTGGAGACGGATAGATGAGAGTTAGGGGCTGCCAAACCAAAACGTGGCATCAGTCCATAAAGTCACTAACTTCTAGTCTGAGCCCTGTTGGTAGATGCAGACTACTTGGTTGGCGTCCACGCGACTATCATAATCAGTGGTTAGAAACTCTGGGTGACATGGCTCAGAATCGATCATAATGGCGTCGGTGTACACACTCTTTGTCTTTCCTTAAGCCGTGAGATTAAAATTACTATACTTTTATTTCTACGAACTAATTCTTTCTCCCTGTATCATATCCTTATATGAAACTTTTTGTAACTACTATTGAGTTAACTAATTCCATAATTTTGATGTTCATCTTTTTGTGTTAATGAGGTGTGGCAACTGGGACCGACGCATATATGTGTCTGGTTCTACGTTGTAGCTGACTGGCAGCACAGTTGGAACATGCTCTCTAGAGATGTTAGCTGATATAGCTCAGATTCACTACTTATGTTACAAACTACGATTTTATCACCCCTTTTCCGTCTTTTATCATTTGTTTTGTCTATTGTCCTTTCTGTGATTTTCTGTGTTGTCTTGATGTATATTTACCTAGAACGTTGCATCTGCCTTTTATCTGGGTTTACAACCATGGTGCTCATTATAAACTTGTATACACTCATTCAAGGGGTTCTATGTATATTTATTTATTAAAAGTCCCATTAATACCGTACAAACCAACTAGCACTTAAAATTTATGTTGCATGTTAATGACTAGAATGCATAATTTTTCATCATCCGTCAACAGTAGGGTTGGCAATATCAGGAGACCTAATAACCCATGCTTAGCAACCCTGATTCTCAGAAACAATTACAAGTATACAGAAAGCTGTTTTAGGCTATCAAACAGGTCTTATTAGTGTAAAAGAACTTCACATAATCCAACACTGTTGATATTATCGCTTTCACTGCAGCGTGAAAACAAGTCAAAGAAAACCGGTCTTCTTTAGTCTGAGGATGTCATTTACGTATGTTCTTTTACTTCAAATAGAATTAAAACCATACTGTTTCACTACACCGCAATTATATATCACGTCTAGTACAGTTGCTAAATATTCTCAGTGTATTTTACAAGTATCTTGATAGTTGCAGTTCTAAAACCTAATTATTTGATTTGTTTGTATCTTTTAAAACCTTACATAATCTGTTGAATAGTTCATCATATTTGTGTGAGGGCTGTGATACTGTCCGAGTGC